ATATTTATAAATTTCTTTTGTTTTGTTTTCCCTCTTTTTCCCTTTTTGTCTTTCTTCATTGCTCAGTTTCTTGTCTCTCTATATCTTCCTTCTCTTTCTGATCCCTGAATACCAGGCGTTGTATACCTCTACACTTTCTAGCCAGCCTATACTTCGACACCTGAGAGTGACTTCCCCAGATCTCATAGCTGCATCGGTGGGATCCCTGAGAACTTTGTGGTTCTTTAACTTTTCTGATTTTTATCTAGTCATTCTTTTCTTTTCTTCCTTTACCCTTTCTGTTTTTCTCCATTATAGTCTCTCATCTTTCCACTCTAACAGCAAGCTCCCCTAGCATTGTTTTTTGTTTGTTTGTATGTTTTTGGCTCCTGTTCCTCTCTCACATATCCATCTTAGCTCTACACATAACAATCTCCCCGCTACATCCTGCCTACCTGCACCATGCTCTTGACATCACACCACCAAGCAGTACAGGCACGACCTACTGGAACCTACCATGCACTGATTACTGACCTGCCCTGGTGGGTGTAGTAAGTGCCACAAACAACCCATCCCAGTAACTCCTCTTCAGCTAGACCTGCCCTGCTGTACAATATCTGAGGGACTGACACTGCCCGTTGGAGAAAGAGGTGAAAAGTATTGAGCTCACAGATGAGCAAACAACAAAAAAAACACAGTCCGCCTGCTCAAATTTTTTTTTAAAAAAGACACGAAACAAACAAATCTACAGTCAATAAACGAGAAAAATAACTACTGAATACCCCGAAAACCACAGACAATATCAAAATATTTACAAAAAAAGGACAGGATGGTTCCAGCAGGCATCAAAATAAAACACCAGATGACTCTCCTCTAGAATAAAATGCACTAGAACTACCTCATACGTAATTCAAATCTCTAATACTCGGAATTTTCCAAAAACTGAGGCAAAAAGCTGACAAACATGAGGAAAAAATAGAAAAATTTATGGAAAATACAGACAAAAAATTGGAAGAATTCAGGAAGATGATGCAGGAACAAAATGCTAAAATAAATTCACAACTAGAAGTTATACAACAACAACAATTAGAAACCCAAAAGATAAACAACAAGATTTCAGAAATGGACAATGTCACAGAAGGTCTGAGAAGCACATTTGAAACCGTGGAAGACAGGATCAGTGGAAGTGAAGACAAACACTTGGATACAACTCAGATTGAGGAAAACTCAGAAAAAAGAACAAAGAAAAATGAAGAGACCCTGAGAATTATGTGGGACACAATTAATAGCAGAAATTTACAAGTGATTGGCATTCCAGAACAGGGGGAGAAAACAGAAAACAAAGAGAGGATCATTGAGAAATCGCTGACAGAAAACTTCCCCAATATCATGAAAGATGAAAAGCTGACCATCCAAGAAGCTCAACAAACCCCATATAGGAGAGACCCCAAAAGAAAATCACGAAAGCATATCATA